AATAGCACTACCTGACTCCCGTGCTACAATAGCACAATGTTCCTACGAACGAAACGTTCATCGGCCTGCATTTTGTCACGTACGTCAAGCAATAACTCGCCATAACTATTAACCATTGACGAGTTATTTAAAGAATTTATTATTAGACCACTTTGTGTATGTGTGTGACGCTGAGGTTTTTGACAACTGCATCCTTACGTTTTCGACAATATTTATAATATAAAATTAATTTAAATAAACAAGAAACTCAGCTTTTGATCAGATGTAAGAACGTTAATGATCTACACTTTGATGCATTGGATATGCTAATGAATTAGAAATCATTAAACGATATCGTTATCGGCTCGATATTTAACATAAATGGTGTGATATAATTTGAAAATTACCACGAGCTTTTCGGTGAAAGAAAATATCATGATGAAACTTGCACGTCGCAGAAGGTTCACAACCCTCGGAAACCGAGTGCAATCCCCAAACCACATTGGGCCAGCGTGGTGAACTATGGCCAAAACCCTCGCCTGAGAGGAGACTCGTGCACCCCAGTGGAACGTGTAAGGGGGTAAAAAACTTATGATTGAGTTGTGGCTCGTATTTTGTATTCCAAAAATCACACGTTGTTCTGGTATCAAAAATAGTAAATGTTTATCAGTTTGTTTCCATTGTGTCAATGTTTACGACGCCGACAGTGAGCCATAGAACAACTTCAAAAGCACATCACAACACAATACTGCGTATTGTTGGGCTTAGATACTTTATGGAGCATTACTGAGTATTACGTGTGACTAAATAACCTATTACTTTGACTACAATACGGGATTCTAATGGCATTTATAGATACTTTTATATTTGCTTAAAAATTAAATACTCACTTGTTGAAATCATGAATAATAAATAATAAAATTATTTAAATATCTGCATAAAAGACGGCGGCATTGGTTAGAATATTTGGCAATATTATACAAGGTCAGTGTATGTACACAAATATTAAATAACTGAGATCCATTTTGTTCGGACCCGCCCAAAAGACCGCAGTCCACTTGATGATACATGAAAATAAGGTCAACCGTGACGAAGGTGAACGGGGCATTAGATTTCCTCTAGTATATTAGTTACCTTTTACCGGATAAAGAACAACTCTAACGTGCATTAACAGTGAACAGAAACCAGACGCGGTCTGTTTGTAGAAGCTGGCCTTGTGCACTTGAAATACTTGGCGTAACACAAAAAACGTTAATTCGCGGCAGAGGTACCTTTGGATGTAGTTCAAGGGGGGTTAATGCTTGCGCCATATATCAAGATGCGCAACAAGTACATGCACGCATCAAAACAGTGTTTTATTTAAAACCGACCATAAGGCAACACTTCCCGTGTAATAACGGTTACGGTACATTTGTGGGAAACTGATAAAATAAATTTCGGACGACATAAAACTATATATCGTTTTTCGTATCAAATATAATGTTGTTATATTTGGCACCAGCCAATATTTGTGTTGTATTGCTATCGCAACAGACGTTATTTGTTTTTAAAAATCTATTTTGACAGTTTCCAAATAATTACTTTTACGGGTTACGTAATTTTTTACCGAGGTTGCGATTGGTTACTTTGGTGGTCTTCATTCCCACATATCCATTTCTGCCTACTATAAAAAGTGAGAACTTTTGCTTCAAATTCTGTGATGACAAAACAGAGTCGATTATCGCTGTCGATAAGAATAACAGACTTGTACTTGTTGTAATATAAGAAATGTTAATAATTCCTTAGACTTTTTTAGGCATTTGTCTTTTTTGCGCGCTCGTAAAATCAGTCGCGTTTTTCCCCCCCCGCTGAATTTGTCTTTGGCTTTTCATTCCAAAATGGATAACAATACCAGAATCACGATAAGTCCATTCGAATGTTTGGTCACCATCATCAACAACCCATTATACGTCCCACAGCTGGGCACTTTTTTATAAATATCTTAAGCGACGGAAGAACAAGTCGTGCGCCTGGTGGTAAGCGACACGCCTTAACAGTTGCGGTGCCACGCAGAGCTCGATCGTAAAGATCTGAACGGCACTGCCGCTGTCACCGTCACCCTGGACGTAAGATGATGTGCCTGTAATTTTACCAGCAGCCTTCAAAACCGGAGCGCAGTAAAGCTCATATTACTGCTTGAGGGTAGAAGTAGGTAAGGTGGCAGTCCTTTCACGAGGAGCTCTACTGCTACGTGCAGCAGGTGTAATCACTATGTTTTCTTTATCGTTAGCGAGCTGTATTGCTAATGTACTAAACTTTCACAAATGTACGAAACTTAGAAATAAAATAATATGTACTTGCCACCCCATGGATTCGAACCATCAGATCTATATGATTATCACTAATATCAGGTTTCTTACCACGGTATGACTTTATTTTATTTTCCCGATATTTCGGAACGGTTGCACGCTCCGTGGACACGGGATCATACCGTGGTAAGAAACCTGATATTAGTGATAATCATTTAGTGAATAACCACGAAAGTCTTAAAATCTATACATCAGATCTATGTTTGTGGTCTGTGTGTGTGTTTGTGGGTTCTCCCACAGGGCTGCAATTACACAACTACAAACTTGATTTTGGCTCTCCCGGTTGGCCACATTTACATTTGCCATGTATGCTTTTATGTGCGCTGTTACAAATTTTATTGACGTTGTAAATATGTGAATGCAATGGACGAGTATCTTATGAAAGAAAGAAGTGTATCAGAACATGCTTATTTTTATTTGAATATCTGAAACTTGCTCAAGATACTTTGAAACTTGAAACTTTTGTGTTTTAACCAAAACTTCTCCAATCTCATTATTTTTCCTTTGACGATGTCATCCGGTCTTATACAGTTAAAAGTATATTTAGGTCTGAGGCTCGTCCCGCGTGGAGGATGTGCTTCCGTAGACGGTTTTAGCTTCTTAGCTGCTTGCAAATGCGGTAGGCGTGGTATTGATTTTGTATCTGAAATGACCGGAATAATAAATAACTATATAAGTGCAATCACCGTGTGTACCCTTCAAGCATTTTGCGCAAGTCACATCGTGTGCACAGCGCTTAAGAACTTTATAAGGGTGCTTGTTACTCTGCACTTTAAAAGACAAAGTATACTCTTCATAGGTTTTTTACCTCATACAAACGATGATGTAGTTACCAGGATAGTAAAGCAAATGCTTCGATGGTTAGTCATGTAGAAAAAAACACATGTTATTAGGTTGATAGCACGAATTTTAGAGCAAATGTAGATGGAAGCGTGGGTAGAGGCCGCTTGATCAAATTGAAGATGTCTTTCAAAAAGGTCAGGTTTAAAAGTATCAAGAAAATGCGAAGACTGCTGCTGTGAGTGGACGAAGCGAGAGTAATTCGTTTAGTAGCAGTAGAGCTCTTTGTGAAAAAGTTCGTCCAGGGAACTACTGACATCATACCTATTTCTGCCGCCAAGCAGTAATATGAGCATTACACGTTCCGGGTTTGAAGGGTAACAGTGTTGGTGAAATTACAGGCACATGGGACTTGTCAACTTATGTCTCACGATTATGGGCGCAGTGGGGGTGCCCTTCAGATCTTTGTGATTTAAAGTTCTGAGTGGCACTGCAACTGTTGTGGACAGGCGTGTCGCTTACAATCAGGCGCACGACTTGTTAGGTCCCGTCACTTGGTATCGTAAAAAAAGCGATACAAGTTTGTCAAAGGCCTAACAGGCGGAGGTTCATGGTCTCTGCCTACTTCAGCGGCACAAAGGCGTGATACTTATAAGTGACAAAAATACTTTTTTTGTGTTAATTCGTTAGTTTTAACGCAGATGCGTTTTGGAATATGGTTTACATCAATTTAATTTGTCCGTCTTTGTACAGCTGTTGGCCGAAAGCCTTTCCATTCGCTACTATGTGTAAGGCCAACCACACGTTTACGTTACCCTTGCAACAAATCGGCAACCAACATTATATAGTGCGTACACAATGTAACCATAGGTACAGATACTGACAATAACAATCTAGTAGTTTTCTATCCACAGACAGGTGTTCAACCATCCATGCTCCATTTTAAATTCTAGATCTTTTGATCTTCGTTTACCTAGGTTTATTTTGGAACTGTGTTAGATCGAAGATGCAACATGATTCATTGCGTTCACCCACATGTCATTACGAAATAGTCATTTTGTTATTGGCACATGGAGGTTGCTCTAATTGACAACAAAAGTATGTAATTGACACAGAGTTATGTTTGACGTATAACAATACGTCAAAAGTTTTTCTTCAGGCGAATTTTATTCAAACATTTTTGAGATTAAATTTTTTGCTTTTAGCATTCAGGTCAAGATCGATTTTAAAGAAACTTTTTAAACAGAGCTTTCACAAAGCTCTGTTTCGGTTCTAATGAATGAATGGCTACACCTGTGCAATACTTAAATAATCGTGTTTGCTTAAGTCTTACCTCAGGAGTCCACAACCTACCGCCTACTCAATAGCCATAGAACAAGTATATGTAAGGACAAGTGTTTGAATAGAAACGGTCGTGAGTACCAGCGCGGCCGCAGCCGGAAGCGCGGAGGCCGCGTCCGGTACGCTTCCGCACAGATCGACTTGACGCGATTGTGCCACTGTGCCGTTGCATATATTTGATATGCTCCGGTATCACTTTGCCGTGCTGTATATACGTTCCACCTTGGGTTGCTGGTTTTTTTCTAGGTAGAGGGGTTTAGACTACTTACATCACGCATTGTACGTTGGGTTGAGGACTTCTGCAGATGATATCGTACGTTTAAAGTTTAAATAACCTCAAATTTCGATTGTTAAAATAAACGGTACAAAAATTTTACGACTAATCATGACGCCATAAAATAACTTTTAGTCAGCGTTTCGTTGAAACCAAAATACGACACAATGTGTATCCAGTTTATAATTAACTTGCAAAGGCGACAATCTAAAAATAACAGTTATTATAAACGTTAAAACGGTGCCAAAAACGTCAGTAATCGAAACTTTATTTACCAGCTGACGACGTTGCCAAAACTACTAGGAAATGTTCGGAGATTGACAGATAGTGATGTCGTGGACGACGTTGACACTAACATTGAATGGGCTAATTGTAGAAGCAGCTATGTTGACTACTAGTGACGTGAATTTTAAAATAATGATATCTAATAAATGAGGTAATAAAACGTACAGTGTAAGGTGAAGTGCAAAACGCAAGAGAAATCGTGTAACGTTGTAAGAACGTTAACGTTTTAAACTTATTTATAACGTTATTTATAATCTATGGTCGGTATGATGTGGTTCAAGAGAGATCCGAAGCCGGTGGAAAAACCGGTTGACAAAATTGAAAATGGAATGGTGGGAAGGTTGAGGCGGAAAAAACCGGTTCTCCTCAAGTCCACGAGGGAATCCAGTGAACGGGAGACGTCGACAGAGAGTGAAAAGGAGAAAAGACGGTACTCAGACATTTTGGATATAAAGGTTTCACAGGGTAAGTGTTTTTACAAGATCATTTAAAAAGCTGGCAAGTTAGTTTTGGGCCTCTGACATTCGCGTTAGAGTTCTGTACATGACGAGGTTTCGTCTCTTACTTGTCAAATTCAATATTTGGTATAACAGCGTTTTTTAAGTATGAAGCGGAAGTAACCTACATTCACACATTTTTATTGAAATAATTTCCTTGCCGTTTCGGTTGTATATTTTTGTGATTACGTACGTTCACGCTTATCTCCTGAAGGAGTAGGCCGAAACTATGTGTAACCAGAAATCTCCACCTTGAAGAGATTAACTTTAAAAAAATATACGCCTAAATGTAGGCTTTTTGATGAAACTCGCGTTTTCCTGTTAGCATTATTAAGACCCTAAACCTGTATTCAATACATTACATAACTTTATTTATTAAACTGTCGATGTCAATCGACAACTATTGTTGCCGCTTGCGGCGTTCGTCGCAATGCAGGAAACGAAACGCGATTGAGGTAAAAGGCAGCCCTTTCTTTAGCCGGTTCCATTCACTCTAAATGTCTACGTTATTAACTTAAAATTGGTGTTGCGCCCGAAGGTATATAGAAATGAAATACGTGCATCATAAAGAAATTATAAACCCATAAAATTACAATCATGTGTCTTGATGATAAAACGTGGAACGAACAATCAGTTTGTCTCCCGCGTAAGAAAACGACTCCTAAAGACAAAAAATATGGCGGTTAATAACCGACGTGGTGACGTCACCTATTTCGGTTACACATTTGGCTAACATTCGCTACCTGACGGGCAGTTGGTTCATTTCGAGCGAAGCCGAACCTGATGAAAAGATAATATAGTTCCTATACACTCGGAGTTTCATTCAAACATCTTTATCTATAGCATATAATACGCTGACAGAGGAAGTCTGTCTAGCTAGAGATCCTAAAAACTACTTAATCCGATAGAGTATAGACTTCGTTTGCTTTTATGCATTAACATTATATTAAAAGACGTCTAATGTCACTTCCTGTGTATGTGCTTTTAAATTGGACACTTAGCGTAACGTTAGGAACAGTGAGAAAGCTAGTCAGCATCGGCATTTCAATTAAATTTCTCAAACCGGTCGTGGACATGAGCCCCGCTCGCGTTTTTCGCGATCTTCTCCCTGCCTTCCGATGGCGCTGAGTCACAGCCATTCATGGCGCATATTGCGCAGAGCTTTTTTATTTTATTTCATGGAGAACACGTTCCGGACAAAGAACCATTTAAAATTTTGCACAAAAGGAACATAGTGCTTTCAATTACCTATAGGCAGCTATATCCAATACAACTTGTCTAACATCAGCTTAGTTAACGATCCACTAGTTGTGAACGCGTTCGTTGCTTTGATTGCCCATCAATTTCTTGGATGTCGCCATTGCTACACATCGGAAATGAATTTTTTTAATTTATTTCGAATTTCCCCGCGAATTATTTGTTCTTTCAAACAAAACAGAGCCAGAGCCCAAAACGTTAGTTTTGTCTGTAAAGAAAAAGAAGAATAATACGCGATTATAGATCCTAAAAAAATAGTTACGTTTTCAATATTATTTTACTCATTACTATATTCAGTTGCGTCTGGGCACATTCCTTCAAAGAAATTTACCCTTTTAATAGCGATTACACCAACTCCACATTGTAGTAATTGCGGGGATTGGAAACGTTTACCACGTGTTGATGGAATGATTCAGCCCGAGAGACTCAGGAGGCAGTTGGACAGTGTGGCTAGCATACGATAGACTGTTACACCACTAACAGTATGTTGGCCAGTCCTTCGTTGACCGAAGCCAGCTACGTTAGCTGTAACAGGCTGAGTGAAGAAACTTCATAAGCCATTCACAGGTGGCAAAGAAACCGTTTAAACTTAATGCAAAGATCTGTAACAAACGCATAGAGATAATTCGTAAGCTTTGCTGACTCGGTCGTAGTTTAGTTGGCTAAGATCGGTGGCCCCGGCATAGCAACGGATGCTGGCTCGAGTTCAGTCAGATCGAAGTACTTTTTTCTTCGGTTTGTTTGATCTTTGTATTAATAATAAAATATATTCACAAGAATTGGTCACACGTCGTCACTTAACATCAGCCAAGCGCGCATCTATAATTCGTTAAAAAAATAAAACAAGTCTTCTAGAGCTAATTTATAATTTTGCGAAGTTTAGAAATGTTCTTTGAGAGTACACAATTGTGGTTAAATTTCCTTTTAAAAGTACGAGTGCCATTTGGGCTATAATAGGGTTTCGGCATCGTAAACTTTCAAAAGTTAAGCTTGCAATTGAAAGTAGTCGGGGAGGTAGGGGTATAGAGGTAGACATAGCGACGATTTGAATTTCGCGAATTTCTATTGCGGTGTTGTGAGTTTCGTACAACACATCTTTTTTAATCAAACACATATCGGCTTTGCATTTCAAACAAGCAGCTATTTCGAGCAAAATAGAAAACTAAAGACATAACGAACAACCACATTATTGAAAAATTGCAATGACTGAAACTAAATGTATGTAGTGCACATTTTTTGTAAAATGATGTGCCTACAACAATCACCTGGTATCAAGCTGGAGAATTTCCTGTACTCTAAGTACCAGAGCCACGGATTTAAAAAAGACCATTTCTCAATTGAATTTACCTGGAATCGAACCCGAGACCTCTTCATCCAGCGACAACGTTGCAAACCGTTTGAGTTATTGAGGTCGTCAAAATGTTTTGTTAGTAGAGTCTGTGGCTCTTCTACCTTAATTGCATTCACAACAACTTTATTAGCTTTGATTGAATTATTTGTTGTCTCCCACTCTTTGACATAGCGAACAAAATACAATCTTTAGATTTATGTTCTCAACGTATGTCCTATATTCGATAACACGGCTACTGTATAAATATTTACACCTTTCGCAAGCTCCGCGGCTCTGTGCTCACCGGCGGTTATAAAACGTTATGACACAGATTATAGTTGAGATTAATTGTTAAGCCAGAGATAACTACAGCCGGTTAGGCTTTTGAGGTTCGGTGAGACGCCTACTTTTGTGCATAAAAATTTAAATGTCTCTATTGAAATGATAATTCAGCTTTCAAAATCAAAGTCAAGTCAAATAGTCATTTATTCCTTATGTTCAATAAATTTACACTTGAAAACGTCACATTTAAGCTACCGCTCGTTCACTATGCTGACTTCCCTGAGAACGAGCAAGAAATTCATGGGATTGCTGTTTTCAAATTAACTTAAATACTATGGAATACACTTTCAATCATATTTGTGTGGAATCCGGAGCCATATCGTTTTTCCATACATCTTTATCTAACACGTAGTCTTCATAGGAATGAAACTATTTTTCCGGATTTAAATCGCGTATATTTGTTTTTTCAAACAAACCGACGTTTCGGGCCCTTTACAGGTCCCATGATCACGGTTGACTGAGGTGGTACAGTCTTCAATCAGATTTAAATCCGGAAAAATAGTTTCATTCCTATGTGTAACAATCGCGAAAACCTAAGAACTCGATACGTAGTCTTCAATTTTGTAAAAAAAAGTCATATCTTTTCAAATAAAATATTTTTAATATAGGTTTTAAACTTAGGAAATAATAATCTTAATACTATTGTAAAAACTTATACAGTTCCCAATAAAATAGTCGTTTACCTTGATCAAATAAAATTTAGTTAACAAATTAAGTTAAGAATTGACAGTGACAGTGACAGTTGCTTGTGAAGTTTCTGCATAGCTGATTTTTTTTTATGCTTTATTATGTTCGGAAAGGTATTAAACATTTCAATGTAACAAACAATCCAAAATTAACTACACAACGTTTATATATTCGACACCATGTAAATGATGCCAGAAACTTTCTCTCTCTTTGTTTTTGTTAAAATTAACAATACACTTGGATTCCTAATTATACAATCCACTCGGTTAACATGGAAATCGTGACTTGTGCTGACACTGTGTGCATCTAGTAACGATTACTGTATTACTACTGGATTACTAATAATTACCCTTGGTTTTGGTTACTGTGCTCATTCATTTACACTTTCCATCATTGTTCAACGAAAGGGTCGTTTTTTTTCTTATCGCCCGTAATAACAATTCTGAACCTACTATAAAAAGTTACGTAAGTTGCCTGTACGGAACCCATTGTAATAGAAGTGACGCCTTACGTTTGGCCAGTTTTATTTCTGTGACTCATGACACGGTCTCCATTGAATTACTTTTTGCTTTCGGCCATTGTTCGCTTTTTGCGAGTTTCATTGACGACGGATCACTGATCGCTATTTAATATTAGCTATAATTATAAATGTTATAAGAAACACATTTACAATTATTAGAAACTCAAATGGCAAGGAAATTTCTCATAATCGTATTTCTAATGATGAATTCTGTTTTTGTTCCTAATTATTGTACTCGCTATAGAAGATTTGAAAACTTCGATTGTTACTTCTGCAGACAAGAACAAATCAATGGTGTACTCTCGTTTACATCTAAAGTTCTTGAATACGTGCTTTTGTAAATTAAAATGTGCTGTTATCTTTATTGTTGTAAAATCTAAAAAGAAATACTTTTTCTGACAGAAAGACGGGATGAGAGCGACGAATCACTATATGAGTCGGCTGACTGTCACAGCGATGCCATATCTGCGAGTGAAGATACCTTACCCAGACTCGGTAAAACACCGACCATGAGTAAAGAGTCTCTCAAACTCGCTGTCACCGACGAAGAAGTCGAGCTCGCCAAGAACATCATCAAAAAAGGACACAGGAAAACCATGTCCTTGTCAAATCCTTTAGAAATCGTCAAGACCTTAGGTGACGAATGGTTCGACAATAAGAAAGAAATGGAAAAGAATACAGACAAACGAAAGTCGAAAGAAAGCCTTTGGAGTGAAGAGGACAGAGATTCAATTAACAGTTCCTCAATGAAAATTAATCCAGAAAGAATAAATAGCAAGAAAGATAACAAAAGCCAGTCAAGTAAAAACAGTGCTGTTGATGGTTCTAAATCTAGAAAAAGTAATAAGGGTTCTTCGGTTAGTGCTCTCAACTTCCTAAGAAGGAAGAAGGTTCCGACGTCTGCGATGAAAGCTGTAGAGGTTGTGGCTGAAGTTGTGGACAAAATTATTAGCACTGAAGAGTTACTAAATTATACTAGATTATTTCTTGAAGAAGAGCGACGACACGCATCTGTTCGAGATTACAAACCACCGCCTGTTGAGACTGATTCTGATGATGATATACCTACTCCTAAATTGATTGGAGAACACAGAAGGAGACTCAGCAGGCAGACTTCTAGAAGTAAAAGTAAAGCTAGGGGAAAGAGTCAGTCCGTGAAAGTGAATACTTTGAGGAAATCTCACAGTGGGACTTTGAAGAAAGGCAAAAAAAAGATGACCAAGACGCCGTCAATACGAAGCAGGCAAGCTAGCATTGTGGACCAGACACCTGTGTTGAAAAAGAAGACTTCAGATTCGTTAAAACATAATTCTTGGCTGTTTAGCGGATCTAAAGGTGAGTTACATAAATGTGCAAACGGTAGGCCAGACTACAAACAATTTCATTCAACGAAAGGTAAGTGAATTTTCTTAATTATTGAAAGAACATTGTCGTGTGGAAAACTTATATGCTACTAGGTTTTAGCTTAATATTAAAATAAAACTCGACACATTTATCGTTACCGGATGATTCCTAGGCATGTAAGTGTACAAACGTACATTTCAACTTAGTTTTTAGTATTATTTTCATACTTCAAAAGTACACACATCAAAAGTGTCTAGGGATCAAGCACGTTTTTGCTAATTATTGAAAATCGGAAAAACAATTTAATTAAAAAAGAGATTTTCAGTAATTGGCAAAAAAGTGCTAGGTCCCTAGACACTTTTGATGTTTGTAGTTTAAATGACCTATGTATTTAAGAAATAAATGTCTGATTACTAATGTGCTTCTGCACTTAGTAACACTCAACCAATTTGGTATTGTTTAAAATCACTGTTTCAGTTTACATATTAACACTACAATAGAATAAAAATTAAATAAAAAAATGGTCCAAGAAAGTTAACTAAAGCAATTTGTTTTACATTTCCAAACACTAAAATCACGTAAGTTACACGAGTAACGTTGAGCGCTAAGCTCGCATCAGTCAAACACTGACTTCTGGGCGTTATTGAGAACGGACTGCCTGTGGTGTGTTACGTCATGAGTTTGAGGTGAGTTATCTTTAAACGGAATAGTTGTTTATTTGTTATAAATAATCGACATAGCGCTAATGCTAAGTATTTCTCTGTTTAGATTAATTATGACAGGTTCTGGCGATGGCTATTCCATTTCTATAGTCTGTCTTTTTTGAAAACGGAGTAAAATGACAGTTCATTGTGCAAAAGTGTTGCCCGCTTACGAGCATCTAGTGATTCCAGTCGATAAATATTCTATCGACAATCGACTGAATATTGGTCACGCTTAAGGAATAAATAGCCGAACAACAAGTTCATTTGAATTGTCGATTTTTGTAAGTTCATACATACATACACTGTATTTAGAATTTACGAAAAATACAAAGAGGAGACATATTTTAGAGTTTTTGATTTTAATTCAATGTATATAATCAAATCCGGCAATTCTTGTTAAAATATATGTGAATAAAAATTGATCTCGATACTAGTAGGCCCACTGTTAAAATAAGAATAAA